GGGGGCGTGCATGATGGTTGTACGGTGGCTGAACTGTGCAGTACGTGCGTGTGGACGATGCGAGGTGCCGAGCTTTAATTTACGCTCTCCATCGTAATTGAAGCATTTCGCAGGAAAAGTTGGAGAGCTTCGTCTCGCGACTTATTTCCATGGCAGCGAAACGATAGGCGCTGCGCTGCTGTATATTATATGTATACGCCACACGCGCACGCATGAACATGTACACGCACGCGCACACACCCCAACGCATTCGCACGCACGTACATGTACACCCGCGCGCGCATGCATGCACGCAGGCGCACACACCCCAACGCATTCGCACGCACGTACACGTACATCCGCGCGCGCATGCACGCACGTACACGCGCGCGCACACACACCAACGAATTCCCACGCACGTACAATCATGTACACCCACACGCGCGAGCGCGGATGACGTCAGATACGCGGAGCGGGGAAGATTTCGAATGTTTGCTCATCCATTATCTGTTTTTCTCTTTGTTTCGGCTTCCGACATCAAGCGACTCTCATCTCGTAAAACGTGCTGCGATTGCTCCTGTACACAACGTGTTGCTAAGAGCTGCTGATGCTGCAAGCACACTGCCTGTTGCAGGATTCGCATCGCGATGCCAAATACATTTCACATTGTGAGTAGGTAAGTAAGTAAAAACTTTATTTAACAACATGTTTTACCGTCGTTAAATAAAGTTTTTACTTACTTACTTTCTCACAATTAATATTTGATGAGTTTTCAACACCACTCGCGGGCGGGTGCTGCTGCTGCTGCCATGCTTGACAGCGTCACCCGCTCGCGGTGAAGTCTGTAGGCGGTCTCTCTCGTATTTTATTCGGCATTTTTTTCTAATCCAATTTGCGAAACCCATTAGATCATTAATAGATTGCACTTTCGTTTGCTATGCGGCGTTTTTTCTAGCACGTCCGGCCATTCTTTGCCGAAATCGATGCAAGAGGGTCCGGCTATGGAGGTGTTAATGTTATAGCGCCTGATGTTTATGTATTCCCAGTGGATTATGTGTGGAGAGTATTTCAGCTGATTGCTGCTAAACAAGAGGGCATTCTAGTGGAGCGCGGTGTTTACGTGCTGATGAGGCGTACTCTAGATTTCAGTTTTCTCTCTAGGGTCATATTGTCAGTGGATTGCTATTAGAGCACTCGCGCATGCATGTTGTCGGGTATTCTCAGCCGCGCGTGGTTGTTCGATTTATTTTCGTTTCAGTAATGCGCGATACGTATAGTACTGTGGAACGTCTCCCGTTAGAAAATTCATCTGTAACGTAATATTAGTTTGACATGATGTTTAAACGTGAATGTGGGAAAGCACGACTTTTGCACTAACGCGGTTTGATATAAAACTGGAATTTTCATGTGAAATATATGTTTATATATAATACCGACGCGATTATGTTCTATTGACCCTCCCGTCTATCTTTGAGAGTACACGACAACTTGTCTAATTAAGGCCATACTACGCTACGTACATACAGGCACATACCGCTAATGCATGACAGTGATATAGGTTAGCCGACATAACATAATCTTGGCTGTCAGGTTTCCATGGCAACAGCTTATTGCTTCAAGCTTTCGCTAGACGGCACGTACGTGATTTCCTGCTTCCATATAAAAATGGTCTTAATATAATTTCTCGTCGATTCTCATTTTGAAATTCGTTTTTTTGCGGCGCGTCTGAAGGGACGTTATTCATATGCAGGCGTGTACTATACAAAGCTTGTTTATTTATCTTTGGCACGGTGGCATGTGCATTATTGATAATAGTGCTCTGCATACACTGCTGGCATTTCAGCGCTCAGATATTCTCGTTGATTTGCTGGCGGTAACTTGTTTGCTGGAACACATTAATTCGTGTGCTTTGGCATCATTATGGAATAGCGAATGTTAAACAAATAATGCTCTGGAAGTATTGATGATTTTTCTTGATCGAGTCACATAGGAATCAGCCCCGCATTATTACTACTGCACTAAGGAATCTATAGCATAGCAACATATCCTCAGATGATAAATATCAAACCATTCTGCTAGTTATTCCGTATTTAAATATCTCTTCCTCACGTTTGACGGAGCGTTTCGCATTGTTAGTTTCGGGCACCGTAAACGTACATTACTTAGACATAACCAGACGTTATGTGACGTCATGTCCCACGCAGTTATGTGAAGAGTGATGAGCTCAGAACTCGCGCATGACTGAGCAACAAAGTGTCGCAGTATTTATGACACACTATACACACTAGCAGTGATGATGTACGTAACTCTATCTGTGTGTGCTGATGTGGCAGATGGATTAATCGTGTCCCACGCTACTCCGTGTTTGCATCTACTATCTACTGTTACAGACCAGCGATGGTATCTATATACCCAGCAGGGGGCGCTAACCCAACACTGATCATGGCACTTGGCCTCGGTGACACGGTTTGCTATGTAATAGCAAACGCGGGGCGTATAGAACCGTGTCATTTAAGCGTGTGGGGTGCATGTGAATCGATGCGCCTGGGAGTTAGCATGATGGGTCACGTATGGCTTAAACGCATTCAATTCGTAGTCGTATTCAAACAGGAAAAGTAACAGTACTTGCTATAGTCTAAACACTAGTCTATATCTATGCAATTCGTCAAATGTTATCAAAAACATAGCACGTAAATGTGAGAACGAGTATTAATGATGATCCGTGATGACACTAACTTATTAAACTAATATGCCCTCACCGGTCCAATTTATTATCATTTTCTTTTTCACATAATCGTCTATTTTAAGACGAAAAATAAACCTCCGAGCATGGATTTGTAATCAGCTCAGGCCCTCGATACCTCGATGACGTACACAGGCAATTAGTGACGTCACATTTAAGAACGAGATTAATCGCAAAGAGCCGTCGTTATGAATAATCGTGATCACGCGAGCTGGAGGAGAGAGCGAGATAGGAGAGAGCGCTAGAGGAGAGAGCTAGAGAAGAGAGAGCGAGAGAGGAGAGAGCTAGAGAGGAGAGAGCGAGAGAGGAGAGAGCGAGAGAGAGATGGCGTGAGAGAGAGATACTGTCTGCCCTGCGCTACACGCACGCTTTCTCATCCACATGAAAGACCGCATCACATGCGGGTAGCTAGGCAACAAGAAATAGCTTCCGCAGTATACACTACTAATGGTTACCTACACACAGTCCGCGTATTCATCCTGTAGCTGATTTGTCCGCGCGAGCAGAATTTCTCCACAGTACATTATGTTACGTTCAGTGGCGTCCGCGATGCTGGATAGTGCGTCGATTTGCTCTCAAGGTTCGTCTTAACAGTTTTTCGCACGATCCCCATGCATGCCCTTACTCCGCCAGGTATGTATGGGAGACGAGTGCGTGCGTGCGTGCGTGCGTGCGTGCGTGCGTGCGTGCGTGCGTGCGTGTGCGTGTGTGTGTTTGTGTGCTTTGTGACGTGAGCATGAGATCGGCATAATGCCAGCACTAGCATGATGAATCGAGTGGCGGGTGATTAGTGAGCTGTGGTGTCGTGTGTGCCCAAGACACCCGGCATCGTGGAAATCACGCTCACCGTGTAACCGACACGTGCACCCTTCACGTGACACGTACCTGACAAGGTACAGACTATGTGTATGCGTGCGTGTACATGCACGCGTGTATAGGTAGGTGGGTGCGTGCGAGCGTGTATAGGTAGATGGGTGCGTGCGTGTACACGCGTGTATAGGTAGATGAGTGCGTGCGTGTACACGCGTGTATAGGTAGGTGGGTGTGTGCGTGTACACGCGTGTATAGGTAGATGAGTGCGTGCGTGTACACGCGTGTATAGGTAGGTGGGTGCGTGCGCGCGCGCGTTTATAGGTAGGTGGGTGCGTGTACACGCGTGTATAGGTAGGTGGGTACGTGCGTGTACACGCGTATATAGGTAGATGAGTGCGTGCGTGTACATGCACGCGTGTATAGGTAGGTGCGTGCGTGCGCGCGTGTATAGGTAGATGGGTGCGTGCGTGTACACGCGTGTATAGGTAGGTGGGTGCGTGCGTGTACACGCGTGTATAGGTGGTAGATGGGTACGTGCGTGCGCGCGTGTATAGGTAGGTGCGTGCGTGCGCGCGTGTATAGGTAGGTGCGTGCGTGCGCGCGTGTATAGGTAGGTGCGTGCGTGCGCGCGTGTGTACGTGCGAGATACTCTATGCAGCTGACCGCGTCTCTAATTATTAAAATGTAATCTGATTATGCTTTCGTAACCCTTTCGCGGTCACGTCATCTCGCGAAGATTTTCAGCGCGCATACCACGCTTAATATTTTCTCGGCGTAGAGCCGCATTCGAACCTGATCAGACCGATCAGAATCCGTACTCGGATTACGGGAGACGTCGTATCCGCTGAAAAATGGCGGCCCATCAATCAGCATTGCATGGAATAGTCGATGCATTTTGCTATCTGTACACGCGATGTTGCCGCTACTTGATCAGACGTTCCCACAGAAGGAATCCAGATAAGAGACCGGATACCAGAGAAGCGTCGCCTGAGAGGTGTTGATCCTGCCCGCTGAGCGCGGATCTTGCGCACAGTTCCGCGGCAAGGCGCACGCGACCGCGGGAACGTCCTACGAAAGTATCACGCGCTGGCAGCTATTAATCCGTGCGCCAAATCGAAAGGCCAGCGCACGAATCAATTGCTGCCAGCGAACAGTCTCGAATTTTAGCGGGTCTAATTCACTACCAAACATATGCACACGCCATCGCGCAGGTCTAATTGCATGAGAATCACTGAAGAACTGCTCCGCTAATCTCGCGAAACGGAAGAGAAATTCAACGACGGCGAAATATAGGGCTTAGTTATAGACACGCAGCTAGGGCCTGCATACCTCCCAAATCCCATTGGTTGATACAAATCACCTTTTCAATTGTGTCCTTTGTCTCGAGTCTTTCGACTTCAGACTCAACGTCTTTTCTCATGTTTATCATCTTGTTGTGAAGACCTTGTCTCTCTGTTGCGCATTGACATTTTTGAATTGCCCTTCTTGTTTCTCTCATCTCCGCTCTTCCTTCCACGGAAACTAGCGGAGACAGGTCGTTGTCTATATCTGGTGTCGATAGCATTTACTGTCGATGCTTTTTCAATTGCACTGGCTTGACTGTCTGACATCTCGTAACTACGGGCTTCTGACAACACCTTGTCTAGGGTGAGATTGTCGCGCAATGCTCTTCGTCTTAGTCTCTGTGATGTGCAGCCATGCAAAATCTGCATGAGAATTTCTTTGTCCGAGTCTTGAAATTCACAGGTCGAGCCAAGTGTTCGCAAGCGTGTGTGGTATGTGTCAATAGACTCACCATCTAGCTGCGTGGTCTGTCGGAATTTAAACACTTCATACGCTGAGTTTTTCTTAGGATTGAAATAATTCACTAATGACAGCTTTACTGTTGAATACTCATCTGGCACATCGTTACCATCAACAGTTATCTGCGCACCCACGCCTTTCTGTTCGTCTGTGAATGTGTCATATATGTCGTACACATCTTCACCACAATAATGCAGCAACAATGCTTTCTTCCTTGCGTCTGATGTGATATCAAGAGCACAGAGCAGATTTTCAAACTTTGCTATCCACTTTTTCCAGCGAATTCCCGCCGACGAACACAGGGAATTTCTCAAAGTTCGGCAGTGCGGTTGCCATTTCAGCTTGTACAGTCTCACTTACTTGTCTCTGAGAACCGTCCTCGTCGCCAAATGTTATGTTGCATAGTTATATACACACATAGTAAACACAGCTCGTGTGTTAAGCCCAACGCACACACCCGAGCAAAACACCGGAACGTGGAGCAAAACATGTTTCGCTCGATGTTCGTGGCTGTGTGCGGATTCCCGAAACAAGAAACATTGCTCAGCTGAGTAAAGCGTGTTTCGCTGAACAAGCAATGTTTGATTTGCGGAGCGTGTTTCGCCTGAGCGTATGTTTTGCTCG